ATTCGAGCCAGGAACTCAGTTTGGGATGGCCACTGCCCGTGCTCGGTGAGCATGTCAGCAAGGCATCGGTTGCCATTGTTGGCGCCATGCAGACACCAACGGCGGGTCGGAGGAGCTGTAACGACGCTAGCAGTGCAGTGACCACTCGCCGATAGGAAAGGCTGGTAGCACGACAGCCATACTGGCAGTTGCATCATCGTTGCGAGGGACGGTGGGAGCGGGATGCGCCGGGACATAGGGACGGCGGCCCATTGGGCCCAAATATCAAGCCACAAGGGATGCAGCTCCCACAACATGAGCCATTTTGAGCTGCGATGTGGTTGGTACAGCAAGAAGTCGTAGGTGTGCGAGCTTCGCGAGAGTTTGCCCAGTACTCGTGCAAATTGTCGCTGGACGAGGTTCCTCCATGGGGCAGAGTCCAACGAGCCAGGCAGCATGAGACGTTGAAGCAGCAACAGTCGTTGGGCGCGGAGCTTAGACGCCACGTGTGGTAGCTTGAGCCCTGCACCACGGTCGTATTGCCATGTTCGAGCAATGAGTGGTCGGTACCGGTCAGTAGGCAGTGTTTTACGGCCAAGGATGAAGCGGTTGAGCATCGATTGCCATTCACGAACCATCGTAGGGGGCACAGGAGTCACAGCCGTGACATGCCATAGTAAGGACAGCATGACTGTGTTTGCTAGTAGGCGCCGACCGTGAATGGTCCGGGCTCGGCAGCCCCATTGCCGAAAACACGCGAGGAATCGGTCATGCACATGGGCAATTTGGTAGTCCCGGGGGAGTCTGTGGGCGAGGAGGAGGCCGAGGTATTTGACCGGACGTCCTGACGGCAGCACGTTGAGAAGTCCACCGTCACGACGCAAAACTCCTCGACAATGTGTTTCTGCTCCACGGCCGATGGAAGGTCGCATGAGAGCAGTGTGGAGTCATCGGCGAAGAAAATGCTGGTCAGAGGGTCACCGTCGGGAAGGGGGATGCCTAGGTGAGGCTGCTGACGGAGCATGTCACCGAGAGGCTCAAGGTACAGGACAAA